AAAAGTTAGTCCAACACCTTCTTCCCCTCCAAAGCGGCACACACGCAGAGAAAAGGACCTACGATGGACTGACACTGAATTTGAACCCACCTGGAGAGTTAAACCACGGTATTTCCTTGAAGGTAAGCTGAACTTGTGCTGAGCAAATCTCTCCTTCCATCTAAAATATTATTTCCTCAAAAACCACAGTAGCTTTCTCCAGCATCCTGTTTTAACCATATCCTCCACTAGCTGAGAATCTGGAACCCAAAAATAGGAATGCGTGGGGTGGAGAAGGGGTACTGGGAGGAGGGACAGAAGTCCGCCAGCGGTGGCTAGCAAGCCCCTACCTAGTCATCCATTCCCCAGACAGCTGTCACACACTTCTCCTCTTGAAGTCCTACTAGGGACAGCCAGTGTGCTCCACAGCCTCCTGAGTCTGAGCTGCGTGGCAGGCTTACACACAGCAGCACTGGCTCAGCCATTTCAGCAGAGATGTCTGTTGATGTAGTCTTTAGAAGTAAAAGAAGCTGCCAAAATTTCAGCTGTTTTTGTTTGATCAAAAACGTGACAATATATATTCCTCACTTCATCGCTGACTATCACCACATCCCTAAGGCACACACCACGAGTGTGGAGGTGCGGTGAGGGCACAGCGGGTTCCCTCTGAGGCTGAAATCAGGTCTGGGCTGTTCACTGCACGCAGGTCACGTAAAGACGAGGAGGTACCCGTTCTGTGAGTAGTGAGGGCAGAACTTTCTTGTGAAGCACGCACAACAAGTACCGTATGTTTTGGACCATAAGACGCACATAGGTTTTAGAGGAGGAAAATAGGGGGGAAAATGTGGTAAAATATTTGACAACATAAATAACATAATATTTCACCAATGTAAATGTAAAGCTACATTTGGCCTATAAGATGTACCACCATTTTTATCCCAGAGTTAGGGGAAAAAAGTGCATCTTATAGTCTGAAAAATACGGTACCAGTTTGCTGTTAGGCTGATCATCCCAGAGAAGACAGTCCAGGTGCCAGCAGATAACCCAGCTGTGGGGCTGGAAGTGAATGTCCACTCACAGTCAGAGGGCTGGCCCTCCTCAGCGTGCAAACCAAGCCACAGAACCATAACTGATGTGCAGAGACTTTTGTTTCAGGAAGGACTTTTCACTTGACACTTTACTCTCAGGCAGGATTTCGAGGAGGGATTTTATTGAAAAGGACTCTTGAGCAAAAACACTGTCATCAACTTTTGATCTAAGATAATTCTGACATTTCTTCCCCACGAGTGCCGTCCATGAAAGGAAGAAATCTCAGAAGCTTTAGGTAAAAGAATTATGTACAACAATAAAAGAGATAATGTGTCACATTCCTTCTGAGCCTTTGTCATCTTTAAATTAAGGCTGTTTTCCTTTCCAAGTTAAAACGCTGCTGCTAAAATCTGAGACCAGAGAACCTTCTTAATCAACCTTTCATGTATGCTAGTTGCTACTTATTTTTCTCTGTTTGTTTGTTTATGTATTCATTTATGTGAGAAACTATTCATAAAAGAAAACCAGGCAATACTAATTTAGTTTATAATACTTTGTTATCGCCACAGTGTGATATACAGAAAGCCTTATACATATCAAGGTCTGCACCCACGGATTCTTAGAGATGTTGAGGAATTGCACCAAATCTAATCATGTTGAAGATTTCCCAACAACCTCTGACCAGTTTCTGTAGGTGATACATAAATTCTGTTTTTTCAGGCCACAACTTGGTAAATTATGCTTTTTGCTTTTTCAACCACGAGTTATTGCAAAATTACTCATTGTCAAGGTTTAGAGGTTCAATGGTGATCAAGCTCCCACAAAGCTTCCAGTCAAACACAGACATAGAATTAAACAAGGATAATAAGTTCTGCACATAAGTGCTGTAATGCAGCTCATTATAGAATGTACCCAAGACTGGGGAGCCAGGAAAGGCATCCCATGAGTTGATAAGAAACCAAGACCTGAAAGATAAAGGCCTCAGCATAAGAGGATCCGGTACAGGAAGCAGGTACAATCCAACAGACATCGACCACAGAGTGGGGGGGGTGGGGGGTGACCACGTTCAGAGTAGCAAAGTCACGTGTTTGAAAGTTTAACTGAAGGCTTATGGGAAGCCACTGAACAAATGTCTGCAGGTGAGTGGCGTGTGTGTGCTCAGATTTGCATTTAGGAAAATGCACTGTGACTGCTGTGTGGCATGGGGATTGGAGCGGACCAGGTGCAGAGGCAAAGAGCCTAATGGGCAGAGGGGAGGACAAGTGTTGCATCTATGAAGATGGGGAAATGTACAGGAGGTATAACCAGCAGAACTCGGTGAGTTATTACCTTTGATTCTATGTGAAGTTTGAGCTATGAAACTTCTGCCGTTTCCCTTCAGAGGAGAGAAGAGGGTACTAACAAACAGCCAACATCTCAGCTGAACAAAAAATAACAATGCTGTTCTACCACGCACATAATGACATTTCAAATACTTAGCATCATAGCCCTGGCTGGCGTAGCTCAGTGGATTGAGCTCGGGCTGCGAACCAAGTGTCTCAGGTTCAATTCCCAGTCAGGGTACATGCCTGGGTTGCAGGCCACGACTGCCAGCAACCGCACACTGATGTTTCTCTCTCTCTCTCTAACTCCCTCCCTTCCCTATCTAAAAAATAAATAAATAAAATCTTAAAAAAAAGACAAAATCCTCTTTAAAAATAAATAAATAAATAATTTTAAAAAAATACTTAGCATCTAGTTTCTTGAGCAGTTTTATTCATACCATTTACTGTGCTGACCTCAACGATCAGGTCAGAATCAACAAAAGTGCCTAAAAAGTATTGCCCTTCCGCCACAGGTGGTAAGCCCCTCATCTTCATACCTCAGCACTAAGCAATGCTCAGCACACAGAGCTCCATAAACGTAAATTCAGTGGAAATGAAATGCAGTTGAGGATATGATTAGGTCCAATGTGTCAAGCCTACCAAAACTAACTGGCATAAAAATATGTGTCCCGTGCTACACTTTATTTAGGGAACAAATACCACCAGAAAATTGAACTACTTTTCTGAATGGGAAGATAAAGTAGGGTAACCACTGAAATGCAGCTCTAAGAAGTGCTTAAGAGACACATTAAGCCATCCGGCCCAGGCGCATCAGCTAGGAGACAGAAAGAGCAGGTAAATATACACACAGGGAGAGCTGAGCTGATTGAATCTAGGAGTGCAGCTTGGCTCATGAAATGAGAATGATCCCTAAATGGGTAGAGTTCTCACCAATAAAAACAGAATCCACTTATGCCCAGGTCCCAGGGGGAGCGGGCTACATACCACAGTGGTAAGAGCTCCAGATTGGGAATTATGTGGATGGTGTGTTAGTCCTTGGGTAAAATCACATCTGCGCTTATGTTCCAACACCCGGCATTATGTTTTTTGTTTAAAATGTAGATATTTTAACTTAAGTCACAATTAAATCTCCCGTTCCTACCTCTTACAGTGGCTGACACATGGTAGAGTCAGGAGAGGCCATCAGTGAACATTAAAAGAGTGTTTCAGTTGGGTGGGTGAATTTATTATTTGAAGTGCTTAGGTGTCCTCTTATTTTCTTTATCCCAATTTCTTCTTCAACATTCTCTCAGTGGAAAGGGAGAAGCAAGGGAAGAACAAAACACCGCATTTCCTTCCTCAAGGATCCAGCAGTCCGAATTCTTCCTTTTGGTTTTTTTCCATATAACACACATGTGCTTGTAATTTTATGCACTTTTTCTTTTCAAAACATTTTATAAACTTTGAATACTCTGAACTTTAATCTTCCTGACTCTATTTTTACAGATCTGTCTTATCTATTTGCTCTTGCCCTTGACCATGGGAGCCTCCTTTAACATTTTGTACATATGTCTTTATATCTAATTTTAGCACGACTCCCATTGCAGCCACATCACTTCTCTTTGTTGTCCTTCTCTATCTTCACTGTGATCATTCCTATTTCCATTACCGAATAATACCCACCTACTTATTTCCAACAGATCACACTTCCCCTCCTGAAGGTTTTAGATGGTGCCTTTCTGAGGGTACATAAATGACTATAATTCATGTGTTCATTTTTAGTTTTCAGCAGTCCTGTCTCCCAAAGTTTCCACCACTTTTTAATCACTAGCAAGCGATTCCTCCTTATTTAAAATTAGCTGCAGAGGTCAAGTGTCCTCATTGCCTTCTCTATTTCTGGGACGTGAAATTGTTAAAGTAAGCAGAGAACTTGTCTTCTGTCCTGCTTTTCAGTAAGGTGTCCCTTCCAGGAGCTGTCTGCTTCAATTTCCCCATCGCTATGACCATAACTTTCCTTGACATCCATTTTCTAATCTGACGTGGGAAATCATTTCCTGTGTTCTCGGTTTGGCAGGAAGTCTACACTAGATTCTCTCAACACCCTGCTTCAGATTCTGCCTTTGGCTCTACTCCAAAAACTCAAACCTATGAAGCCATCAGGAGGTCATTCGATTTGCCAGAAGTGGCGCACATACAATCCCACACTATCCCAAATTCCCTTGTAGCATAGGTCAACTTCTCAATGACCCCTGCCCAAGTTTTCTCATCTATTAGAAATAATGTACTTGCTCAGTGGACTTACCTAATTCATGCAAATGTATGGCTATAGAATTATTTTAAAAGAAACCTACAATTTCAGTGTCATAATTAACAGAATTTGTCCCCATGGAGGTTGCATGAGAGGTTGCCCTAGTGGCATAGTTAACTTAAAAGAGAAATAATTTATGTACAGTTCACTAAAATTATGGTTATGTGTCTTGATCTTTCAAAGAAAATAGCTCAGAGTTTTAAACAAATGTTCGGTGATCATAAGAAAACCTTGAAACCCAACAGAGGATCCTATCATTCCATTGTGGCTAATGAAGATAAATCCCTAGCCAAACTTGAGATGGACTTGTCTAGTTTTCTACACATTCATCAAACTAATGATTAGTATCTAAAGTCTAGGGTGTTTCAAAGGGTACTTACAAGAACATTGCCATCTGAAGCCATGTATGATACCAAACTGGTAGAAACACAAGCTAGAAGAGAAAAAAGATTTCAGGTAAATATAGTGTTAAAGTTTCAGGTAAATAAAGAGTTCATAAAAGCATGCACCTCTTGACCTGGGGCTACAGGTGAGTGGCATTTCTATTTCAACAGATGGCCTTTTAATACAGAATTCAATACACCAGCTGTTTAAAACAAGTTTATAAAATAAGCCAAAATTTCATCTATACATTTGTCAGTATTCTTTCAAGTCTACAAAACATGATTATTACTTGTGTACTTACTCCTGTATTATGCAGAAACATATATCTTTGAGAAACAAAAATATTTTTCTTTTCATGATGTGCAACCCAACATAAGATGTGGAACCATTACTATTATCCTGGTGATACTAGCTAAGCAATTTCAGAAACGCCGCTCATTCCTCTACCTCTGAAGAGCCAACGTTAACGTGAAGATGAGCCCCTTTTGATGTGCTGCACTTTGTAGTGGATCACCTGAAAACAAGACACCCTGTGGTTTCAAGGAAAGCAGATGAAAACAAAAAGAGAAAATCTCATATTTTCAAACTTCGGCAAGCAAGAAACTTGTTAAACATCCACAAGCCACTGAAACTCGCTCAAAGCAGAAAGCCTTTCAATTTCTTCCCAGCGACACCACACATACAGTTCCACAGGCTGTGTCAGAGGCTCCCAACTTTTGAAGAATGGATACCCCTTTTTAATGTCAAAGATGCCATATTTATACTACACAAACATGAAGAAAACATTTATTTGTAAAATTCCAAAGAGAAAAAAATCGTAATTTAAAAAACTGATAAATTGTATTACTTAATTTAATTTGTTTAATAATACACTGAGACCTAAATAAAAAATCAGATCACGAGCTGGTGAAAGAGCTGCATATGCATTTAGTGTATAAAAGTCATAATGTAAAGAGTTCTTCCACATCAATAAGAAAATAGTAAACAAGCCAACAGGCTAAGTAAAAGAAAGTTCTAAAAATAAAAACACCATTTAACTTCCATTAGTAAAAACATGAGAGCTGTATAAAACAACACTATTCCATTTTCAGTCTTCAAGGCTGACACATACAAAAAAATTAAGTGACAGATGCCACATTTGCTGCAGATGTCTTGTAAAGAATAATTTGTTGAAATGTCAAACGATCACAGCCTGGCTGGAGAGCATTTTGTCAGGATGATGATGACAGTCACAATGGCCACTAGCATTGGCTGTCCTTTACTCTGTGCCATCAACTATGCTAATCACTACCCCATCGAACATGCAGAGAGTTGTACATTACACCCCTAAGGAAAAAATAAGTAGAAAACACGAGCAGAGCAACACCATTGATTTTTTTATCATAAAATATAGCTTTATATACATCCAACTCATACATCAATGCATTGGAAGAAAAAGTCTGAAGATATTTAGCAAAATGTGAAAGTTGGAATAAAAAGTAAGTCATTTTTCTCCCCCTAGGTATTTATATTTTTAAATAAGTATTTATAAAATAAAATGAGATAAAATGCTATAATTATTTTTGAATCTTTATAGCTATGTATTTTTAGCATGTACCGAATGAGTGAAAACAGTAAAAGTTAGAGTGAATTCAGCAGTGCTTTTAGGTAAGGAAACTTACAGAACATGTAGAAATTAGAAGCAAAGCATTGGATTGGTCTGGATTGGATTTAAATCCCAGCTTGGCAATTTATTTTGTAATCTTCAGCAAGTAACTGATATTTTGGGGCCTCAGGACTCCCATCTACAAAATGAGGATAATAATAGTATTTCTTTCTTAGGGTCAGATAAGAATTAAGTGAGAAAATATCTTTAGAATGCTCACAGCAGGGCTTAACATGTAATAAGTGCTCATTAAACTATCTTATTGTTATAAATTTATTCCTTTATGCTAGCTTATTGTTATATATTTATTCCTTAAGCAAGCATTTATTAGAGGTCAACTATATATACACTTTACATATAATATAAACTACCACGATGTAACTCTTCCTGACTCTACCCAGATGGCTTATCACCCTCTCCCCTGTAATAATATAATAGCTCAATTTATTACACTTTTAAAAGAGTTATTATGTGCCCAGCCAACTGATGAATTTTATGTGTCAGGCCATACGATTGTCAGAACAATGTTATGAATAATCTACTATATTAGTCCCATATCATAGATGAGACAGTTTAGGCAATTTAGAGAAGGAAGTTAGTAAATTGATGTTTCTGAATTCAAACCCGGACTCCAGAGACTGTTCTCCTACCCATCACAGTGCCATCCTGGCTTCCTCAAAATCTCCCACAGGGTGTTGCCCCTAACTAACCCCTCAGTGTCTCCGTACTGGACCATGATGCTGTGGACCGGTCTCCCTGGTTAGATCAGGAGAATGTCAAAGGTGGAAGCCAAGAGGCAGTCTTCATGACCCAGGGCCATGTCCAGTGAAGGCCACAGCTGAGGCAAGAGTTGCCAGAAAGGCTTTCTAAACTAACAGATCACACCCTCAGACAATTTTATTGTTTCAGTGGAATTCTGAATCCCTACACTCAGCCAGCTCATTAATAGTAAAAGAAGCACAGAATTTGCAGGAGGTCATAAAACAGAAAGGGAAAAAATTATCTTTAAGTCTACCTGTAAGCACTGGGATTTGTTGACAATACACTGGTTTGGTCATTGATGGTATCAAGCTTTCATTGGGTGTTGAAGAGTATTTCTCTTGTGTATATTGTATCTCTTTATCTCCTTGCTATCTCTTAAGTGTGTCCACTCTGTCACTGCTACCACCCCCGCCCAATGCCCCAGCACCTGCCTCTTGGACCACTCCGTGAACATTCTAGCTGATGCCCCAGCTTTCTTTCTTGCCCAGAGTGATGTTTTTTCAAAGCACATAACTATTCTTCTCTGTCTTTAAATCTCTACAATGGCCATTGAGTCTTGAGATCAAGAACAAAAACATGAAAATCTCCGAATCTGGCCTCTGTCTCCTCTCCAGCCCCATCTTGGATCATTTCCATGTATTTCTTTCCATTGCCCTGATTTATTAGCTTTTAAAAAAATTCCTTAAACATGTTCCTACCCATCTCAGAGCCTCTGTGCATACTCTTTTTCAACAGCCCTCACCCAAGATAGCTTATACCAACTAATCTTTCAGCCCTCAACCCAAATATCATTTAGTCCAGAAAGTGTCTCCTGATCCTATCATCATCCCCTTTTATATGCACTCTTAGCACCTTCTTTTTTTATTCATAGGTGTTCTCATTATTGTGTTATTTATTTTGCAATTGATTCTTTAACATCTGACCCCACTATAGTACAACTTACCTGAGGGCAGGCACTGTGTCTTATCTTGTTTATTGGATTATTGCTGTATCCCCATTTTATACACAGAATAATTCAATAGATACTTGTTAAGTAAATGGACTAAAAATACAAGCAATAAAAGCATTAAACTTTAGATGAGTTTCCATACAGCAAACCTATGAATTTGAATTTTGTTTGTTTAGTGGACTATTGTGGTCGTGAATATCACAGTAGAAATCTCCTTCCCAGGATATGCAAATGAAACCATGTAGAAATAAGATGCAGTCAGTGGTGCAGGGCAGGGAGAAACCATGAGCGGTGGCGCCCCCACAGATGGATGTGCCCTTGGGGAGGCTATCAGTGAGTGTTACTTAATAGAACTCCAGCACTTACTTCTTGTAGTTGACATACATGAAATCCAAACTGTCGTCAAAATAATTGGGGGTAGAAGAATCACCAAAACAATTTAAGCCTAGTTCTTGCTTCTCCTCTTCAGTACAAAGCATGTAGCCATTGTCCAGAAGAATTAGGAAAGGAAATGGAGGTCATGGAGATTCATGTAAGTGCATTTGCTTATTGTTTGGACAGCAAGAAGCAGCTCAATGAACCATGTTATCGGGCGCATGGAATCTATATATTGATAAGCTAAATATGTAGCCCCAAGATTTTGATCAAAATATCGACAAAGCACACAATAAAAGCAATTTGTGAAAAATAATAATAATGCTAGAAAAAGGAGTTTTAAAAGTAGTGATTTTACCATATTCCCAACCCTTTCTGAGAGTATCAGTTTCAGCCAGCTGCCTATAAGTGAAAGAGTTATAGGAAAAAATCGTCATGGATATGTTTCAATAAAGAATTTTTGTACAATTCCCAGGAAATAAAAATGTATGAGAGTCTAATGACTGGGTAACAGAGAACTTTTGTAAATCAAGAGATTTGCAGTTCTTCACTTTCAACAAAATTAAAGAAGGATCTATTTCACATGTTTGTTAGTCATTAAAAGCACTTGTTCTGATAGACCACCATGTGGTATGTGGTGTACACTTGCAAGGAGTTCAAAAGGTGCTTCATTCCCATCTATTTGTTTATATGAAAGAGAGTGTTAGGCACTTACATACATAACGATCAATAGTAGGAATAAAACTGGTTCTCAGCTCCCTCTCATTTTAGCAATAGATAAAATGCATTCATGGCTATGGGACAAAATCAGAGGAAAAGGCTCAACTGTCTCATTAAACAATGCAATGTTGGAAAACAATGTGTACCTCTGGGTCAATCATTATCATCAAAGTGTGTAACGTATTCACATTGTTTGTTAAATTATATACCAATAATAATCGTAATGATAACTCACTCCAAATAAAATCTTTTATGGCTCAGAGAATTATGTCCAGCAAAATTTTTAAAACTGATTTAAGTATGCATTCTTTTGCTGAAATGTATGATAGAATCATCAGTAAAATACTTTCAAGTATAAAAATATTATATAATTGGATAAAAATCCACGGAGTAGTGAAATGAAAATCTGAGTTTCAGGGAGGTGAAGGGGGGATGAAACAGCAATGTAGAATATTAAACTCCAAAGATTACTTTTTAAAAAAAGTAACGGGACGTATAAAATCTGTGATGTTTTTATTGCATAGTTACTTCTTTACCATCAAGTTTTATAATATGCCAGAAATTACATCTTTTGCAACTATTTAAACATATGATAAAG